ATTCACTTGTTTATTTTGAAAAAAGGTTTGAATCCAAATGCATCAAATATAACATGGTTAATGTCAATAATTAAAGCATCAAATCAAACAACAATAATCTCACCTAGTCCAACATTTATGGCTATTGCTGATCAAAATTATTTTGTTGTACTTGGTTATCATGGTAATGTTGTTCAAATGAATAGAACAACCATAGGATGAGGAATTCTTCTGCGTAACGACTCCAAAATTCTCACTACTTTCACCGCTCATGACGAACCTAAACTGTTCGAGATGACATATATTTCATCCAGGTTCTTAGGTTCTTGAGTTCTTGCATGCCGGACACGAATCGAAACTTTTAGGTTCATGCTCACGCTTTAGGTTCGTACGACCGTTTAGATACAAGAATCTTTTCTGCTAGTATATTTTATATCTAGGTTTTTAGGTTCTTGCATGTTGTAAACGAATCTAAAAATCGTCGTTTCTGTTTTGATAATCAAGTCTCTTCTCCAATCTTCCTTTTCACATTTTTCACAGTGTTCTTTTGTCTCAATTTCTTGTGATTGTTTCTTTCGTTTAGATTTTAACCAATATTGGCCATTGATTGCAGTCGCATCGTTCGGATCATCATCAAGATCTGATAGAAAGTCAGTATTAGAGGCATCATTTTTTTTATATCCGTTGGTTGTGGTTGATGTAATCGACAAAACATCGGATCGATTTTCCCTCCTGAAATGAAAGTACAAACTTCATACGGTATACGTGATTTTTACTTTTATTGTCAGACCGCGGCTTTCCTCCTTTTCTATGTGCTCTTTTTGATTACCTTGTCTTCTACGCATTGGCGTACGCGGACACCCAACTCGTAACGGCGATAGTTCTTCATGTTGGATTGTGCACGTTGTGTCATGTGCACACAATAACCGTGACGGTTTCTCATGCCCATCTGTTAATAAACATTGTGAACAATTTTTCTCACATTTCAGTGATACAGATTTATGATTTGTCCATAATACGACGAACAGTTGATATAGCATTGGATTAAATTCTTCTAGATATTTTTCAATTTTGGTTGTATTTTCAAATGTTTCCAGAATTTCAAAGCGAAAGTCTTTTGTTGTCATAAAAACGAATTGTGCCACTTGAAATTGAATCCAATGCATTTGAAACAATTTTGATTCGAGATTTAGTGTTTTTCCCATTGTTGGTAATTTTATCGAATACGAACATTTTTTCTTTGCTTCGACTGAACCATTGTACGCTTTACAGAAACTTTTGAAATTCATGTGTGAGTGAAGTAATAACGATGTGAATTGAATAAATAAATCATTAGAATAGCCCACATTCCCGCCAAAATAAATGTACTCATTGTTAAGCATGGCCTCTGGCGTTGTGAAATTACGCTGATGATTTATTTGATCGTAATGCATCGGATAATATGTACGGCGACAATATGAACAACATGTTTTGTAAATACACGCTCGACCAATTGTCATTTGATTAAAAACCGTTATTTCTTTGAGAAAGGAAGGGACTAACAGTTGATTACAACTCAAACATGTTGATGTGAATGGTTTCAAATTTATCGATGTTGCATGATTTGAGCTGTTTATATCAGCATGATGACGTGCCATTAATTGGACTGGATCAATGGTTGATAAAAAAATCCTCGATAACAATTCATTTCTTTGCATTATTTCAATAACAAGGCGAATGCGGCTGGACGTATAAGAAGCTTTCTGAGCAGGTATACGATAAGTGGCATTGATTATTTGTGTTAGAGATTCCATCTTTGTAGGTCTTTCTTTCTCGAATAGATTAAACAAACGACTTAACATAATTAATCCATCTAATTCTATGTACTGTAAACAGAGTCGATAATGCTGGTAGTACGTCTGCGTCGTGGGAGCCCGATGATTTAGAACATAAGTCGATATTATCTTTATTCATCTTAACTTAGAAGATGAACAACGTAAGTCTGAAGAATCAATATAGTAAAAAACAATTGTGCTCAGTGAACATTTATAGTCGAGCTTTTGTAGTATTAACTTTTGTTCGCACTCACTGGAGGAGCAAACCTTAGCAGAAAAAAGAGCTTATAGAAGACTTTATTCAATAAAATTTTACGAGAGAATGGGTGCATAGCAATGTAACCTTCCACAAAATATAATCGACGTAGGATCTAGAAGACTGAAGCTACACGTCTCTTCTTTTTCTCTAGCTTGATAAAATAAAAATATATTTCTTCAATAGCGTTAAAAAATAGAGTTTAGTGTTTATATCTATAATTATATATCCTTAGTGTATAAACTGGAAGAAGGAAGAGGACAATTTTAGTGATTCCTACTGGCTCGATAGAAACGCTTTTCATGTTTTGATAGACTTTTGTTTTTGACGATAATTTTGTAGCAATATCCTGAACTGAAGAAGCTTCACAGTTGCTTTTAAATATTACAGTTGGGAACCGAAAACATGAGCACGAAAAGTTGAGCACTAGGAAAATTGGGCACGAGGAAAGTTGAGCAGGAGAAAACTTGAGCACGAGAAAGCTGAGCACTAGGAAACATGAGCACAAGTTTATAATTTATTCATTAAATATTTTCTATCATAAACAGTTGAAAAAATTTAAGGGAAAGTTACTTTAATCAATTTATTCAATATACTATTATATGAAAGATTAAACTTTTAATTCACATACTTACATTAGCAAAGAAAGAAATATTTATTGTTTAAGCAAATATTATGTGCAATATTATTTAGTTATATAAGAATATCATCATATGGATGCGATAAAAGATTTTTTAATAAATTCTAATTTTTAATATACTTTTATTCGTGCTAATAGTAACATAACAATTTTTAGAAAGACTTGACGATGAAATCGAAAACAACACACGTCTGTAGTTCGATGTTAAATCTACAGTTATTGGTACTGATGAAGACGTTGGTAAACGTCGAAATGTTTAGCTATTAAATGTAATATCTATACGAATAAAAGTATATTAAAAATTAGAATTTATTAAATCTTTTATCGCATCCACATGATGATATTCTTATATAATGAATAAATTATAAATTTGTGCTCGTGTTTCCTCCTGCTCAACTTTCCTCGTGTCCAATTTTCCTAGTGCCCACATTTCCTAGTGCTCAACTTTCTGTGCTCAAGTTTCTCCGTGCTCATCGTTCATCCACCCATTACAGTTGTTTCTTCCTCTTAATTTTTCTTCTCTTTCTATAAATGATATCAACATTTCTATAGTCCCTTTCATCTATGTAGTTCACGAACTCGTAGACACATTTAAAGATGATATTGGTTTTATACAACGAGCTCACTCGATTCTCGCTATTATACTATTTTTGTTCATTTAAGAGAGAAGATAAAAACAGAAAATGTTCATGAGCTTTTAGCTCCGTCAACTGACGTGTCTCATTTTATTCTATTTGTTATATGGCACTCAAAGAAACGAATTTAACAGAAAAGTACTATGAAAAATTGTATGAACACATTTTACCTAGAATAATACTTTATCGACAAACAGTCGCACAAGGTAAATAAATAAGTCTAGAAAAAAACAATAACAGACTTGGTTTGATAAAAAAAATAGTCGAAGGAATTATATACAGAGCGTTGTCGATAAATATCTTTAAAAACGAAACGGATAAATAAAAACAAAACAAATTGTTGCTTATTGAAAAATAAAATCACTATTTTTGCTAGTAATTATCAGAGCAAATGTACAACTACTGTAGCCAAAATGACAAAAAAAAACAATTTGAATAATAATAATTACATAATAAATGGATCCTTTTTGAATAATACATAAAAAATTTGAAACGTTTTTTATTCATCATGTAATATTCATTTTTCTTCGTTTTGCTCTGGTAACCGTTACAGTTGATGTCACCGGCTGAGCTATTTTTCTATTTTTTTTTTAAAAACACTGGAGAGAATTATTATTACAAACAAATAGTATATACCTTCATCCGATGTTGATTCTTTCTGAGAAGTAGCTGTATCAGGATCATATTTCCATTTTGCTGGATCAATGGTTGCTATTTCGTAAAATTTTTTCGATGACAATACCTCAAATGCTTTGTCACTCAAGTTCCATTTTGGTGTAACTGTAAGTGATTCGCCATTCGATTTTGGTGTAGGCTTAAATGACTCTTCGAATTCTTCCATTGTTAAATGAACTTTTTCCAATTTAAACATGAATTCAATGTCAGATACACCCGGTTTATTTGGATCATAGTCATCTGGAGCCAATTTAAAATAACCTTTTTGTGGTTGAACGCGCCCGTTTCGATATTTTCCGATGAAATAATCGTCATAATGCAACAACCCTTGGTGAACTAATAATTTCAAGGCCTTTGCCCGATCATCTCTCGTATGATTCGAAACGGCTTTTGTTACATCCTTGTGTGACAAAACAACCGAATGATATTTCATTATTAATTAGGCAATATTTAGAATCTTGTTATCATCATATGTTTTTATAACATTTTGAGACGTTTCGCTTCTTAAATTTGCTAATGACACTGGTTCATTGTTACGAGCTGTTCGATTATGTTCATCTTCACCCTCATTTCGTTTTTCTTGATTATATGCAACTATAAAAAGAATGATACAGGTATATGAAAACATATTGTATGTAAGTCATCTATGTACATTCGTTTATAGCTGCTATTTCCGGGAGGGAGAAACTATCGTCAATTTGAATCCAGTTTAATCGAATAGTGTCTTGAATAGAGATTGCAGACATAGTCCAATTGTTCATTTGTCCATCGTTTGTTATTACTTCATCTGAAATAGGGAGAAGGGACAGGATATAAATGTAGAAAAGGGAATATTCCATTGTTTACCAATGTGACCGTTTTCAACATCATCAATAACTGTCTTCATTAGTTCTCGTATTTCAATATCATGGGATTTTTCATCTTTTGTTTCCGGCAGTGACTGTACTGTTGTTTTATCTAGAAATGAACAGCTGAAGAGAACTGGTCTATACAGAGATAATATCTCACATTCTGAGGGCGCTTCTTGACTACTTCTATCGCCAAAAATTGTAATGACTGATTCTGTAACTCCCGAAGGCATCATATTTAATGACTCCCGTTGACTGGCTGTTTTGCTGAGAAAGAAATACTAAGTAAATTAGTTTAAAGACTGCTCATATATGATTGCACACCTGTCTGTAATCCCGTTTCCTTTTTAGTTTCTGATGGTGCATCATTTTCTCCAGTGGCTTGATTTTCATCTATCATGCATAAATTTTGTATATCAACCAATTTACTTCGATTTTTCTCACCGTCTAGTTTATTTGCTTCAGAAGTGGCAATGACTTTTAAAAGAAAAGAATAACAATTGCAATTTGCACCACGGTACCGTACGATTTTATACCGTTTACAGTTGTTGTGTATTTTTTAACAGTTGATGTGTTAGAAATTTTGTTTGAAATCAGATTTTGTTGAACTGTAGACAGGTTTCGAACATGACTTGATTCACGGGGTTTACTCAATGCACCTATAACAAAAATAATTTCTTCAAATAGACTGAAGCCAGGTATGTTGTATAATACGTACTTGCAAGTGTTTCAGTCTGTTTGGAGCCATTTAATAACATTTTCAAGTGCGTTGTTCCATCTAATACTGTTCCATGCACGCCGATTCGATCAGCCTGTTTGTCGACATCATTTTCACTCGTTTTCTTTTCTATCGGAGTTGATACGTGAAATGCTAACCATTTTGTTGTTTTCGATCCTTTACTCGTTTGTGAAAACGATTCGATTGGTTTTGGTTGATCCAACTGTGTTCCATAATCTATAAAGAAAAGAATTATGCTTAAAAATAAGCAAATTCATTTGACATACCTGTTTGTTCGTGCTTCTGCATAACTACCAACGTTCCTCCAAGTGGCCTAGCTATCGTTATTCCATCTTTTTCAAGTTGCTCCGTTTCTAGAACAGTAGACGTATGCTATCTCGTTGTCTTCAGCTGTAAAACTATGTTTTAACATAAGACAAATTAATTGATGATATGGTTAAATCTGATGTACCTTGAGAATAATATTGATGTTTACATTCATCTTCCTTATCACGTGTTGACGGTGACTCATCCATAAGATCAGGCGCATCTGTGTAATTCTTCTCTTCCTCATTGTTTTCATCACGATTTTGTGAATGATCTGAAAGCATCTGTTGAGCCATTGCTAAAAGCACAGAAGGCATTTGTGTATTATTCCTTCTAAAATACTAATTATTTTATTACGTGCGACTGTATCATCAATCAGATGCTTTGGTACCAACAATTCAGGCACTTCGATTTCAAATTCTTCTCCTAAATATATATGAAAAGACATGAGTTATATCATTAACTGGTATCTCACTTACCATGATCATTTTCACCCATTTGATTAATTTTTCTCACACCTGTCAACAACTGATTGAAGACACGTGGAGATATCATTTTTTTACACACGGCCAAAAATTGTTGAATAGGAGAGTCGAACATGTTCGGTGCAAATTTCAATTTACGCATGGCTATTTTATTTGACGAAGACGGTAAGTCAGTACTACTTGGAGAAATATCGAATGTTTTCGATTCAGCAGTAATTATTGTTGCTGAAACAATCGACCGTTAATTTCGCTTCATTTCTTCTTTCGCCTGTTCACAAACTTCCTCATCTTGTTTGTAAACTTCCTTCACAGATGATTCATCAGTCATTCCTTTTCGCGGATAACGATCATTTTCAGGGTAATAATGTGGTTTGCCGTCAAAAAACTTTTGTTGATTATCTGTTATTTCATAATTACTTGGCAACGTTGATTTATCATGATGAGTAACATAATGAATTATATCGATTTCATACTTATTCAACGCATGTTGAAAATTGACTACCGTGTTCATCTTTAGGTGGTAATAAACGATAATATGCCGAATAATTTTTTTTATTTTTTGAACAATAGATATTCTTTTCGACAAGGTGAAGAAGACCTTCTCTGGCTAACTTTTCTAATATTTGTTCTTTATTCGATGTATTATTGTATCGTGTTTTCGTACCATGTAAATGATCAGCGCCAGTGCCAGGCCATTTCTGTAACCAAGTAGACATAACAAAATTATAAGGGAATGTGACTAGTATGAAATGTTCAATCAGTTCTCTTGCACTTTCTCTTGTTGATACAGTCGACAAATTCAGTATCAGTGGAACAAGTGGTTGTATTTGATTAATTCGATCTGTAGATACGTCAAATAACTTTAGTGCATGAATCATGAGTCCACGATGAAGCGTTATTGATCGTCCACACACTTCGGGATCAATATAAATCACATTTAGTCCTTCATCATTTTTCGGTTTTTTAGAAAAAAATAGATCCTCGAGCGTTTTATCGATTAAATTAATTAATTTTGAATCAAAATCTTTTGTTTCCCCTACTTCGAATGTATAATGCATACTCATTGCTTCGGCTACAACTACTGAACACATAAGTGCTTGAGCAACGCAGATAAGACGAGGGACAATTTCCATGGCCTTCACAAGGAAATCCATTTCATGTGGTAACACAGTGGGCATTTAGGCGGCATTTTCTGAAAAAATCGTAGGTACGAAATTTTCTGTTTTGAATAGCGGTATATATAGTGTAAGCAATGCCCTATTTAAAATGAAAAAATTTTTGTTCTAGCTGCTTCCAAAGTGGAGAAAACCAAGTTACAAAATTACTAGCGGAATAGGCGTGTTGGTATTTAAAATTGCATTTTCTCCATCAAATTTGAATTTTTTTTGAAAAAC